AGATGTTCTTGATTGTTTATTTGAGGCGCCAGGGTGGTGTTCACATTATAAAGTTTACTTTCGAAGATCACTATGGCGACGTATTATAAGTTTTGGTCATGGATATAGAGGGATTTCAAATAATAACCAAACAGGAAGAGGGAGGTTATGCCCACAAGGCATCTGCCCAGGCACAAAAGCAGGAATGAATGTAGATTTGAAATAAAGCAGACTCTTTCAGAGTGAACAGTGTGGAGGCGCAGAAGGATCATTACAGTCCGAGGAGAATGGCTCTGTGAGGAGTTACCAGGTGATCTGGCCGACCCTGGAAATATCAATAGTGTACCAGCCACCCCTTTTAAAATGAAAGGAAATTTTCAGTCGTCCTTTGCTGTCTGTACAAATTTAGCATTACAGTTATTTTTTAGGTTTTCCTTTTGCTAAAGTGTGTGAGATATATACTGCACAACCTTTTGGTCAGAATAACCTTTCTCTAGGACAAAGCAAACATTCGTCCACACTGAGACTGGGAATCATGTCTATGGAATATTTTTTCAGGAATCAATATTATTGTAGACGTCTCAACAAAGAATGTTTATCTCATTTCCTCTACATTTAGCCACCCAAAATTCTCTTAAATTTGTATATCTACAGAAAACTCAAATTCAGTTCTTCCTTTCCCGATTAAGGACCACAACATTTATACTGTAGCTGTGATCCATTCTTCATCACACACTCTTCGTATCCAGCAGTTTTTGTTTGTTCATGTGTTCTGTCTTATTCATGCTTGCATGACCTCCAAAGGTTATTGTCATCAAAGCGATGGACATATGGGTCGTAGTTTACATATTTTTTGTGATGATCGTTGTAGTGACCAAACACACATGCGCATGCACACACACTCTCTCACATACACACACAGAGACATTAATTTGTCAGTTGACATGTGTTAAAAGTATATTGCAGATTTCTGAAAGCCCACATGCGTGCACACACACACATGCAAACAAGCACACACAATGTCACTTTTTTTTCAAAGATTTGTGTGTGTGGTTCACTAGGTTCACAGTTCTGATGAGTTATGTACTTGTGTTTATACTTGTTGTTTCTTCTTAGAATACCTACATTTTCATTTCATCTTTTTATCTAGTCATTTCTATTTGCATTTAGAGTTTTTCAGTTACATCTTGCTGCTTACGGTTTTTTCAGGATCTTTCCTACATTTCTGTTGATAGAGGCTCGCAAGAGAATTGCTTTCTTCCTGAAATATTTTTTGACTGAAATTCAACATTTTTCAGTGGCATGCCACCTGATGTAGTGCAATATTTACAAAGACAATTTCCAAGAATCTACAACATAATTTTAATGCACGTTCTAACAAATGAAATAAATATTTATTTTGCATTGATATCTAAATAGCTATTTATTATGCATCGATATCATAGAAGTTTAATTAAAAATGAATACTTCAAATCAGAAAACAACAACAACAACAACAACAATCCAGGCTGTTTAATCTCAAACTCTATTTCTAGTGGACACATACCAATATTCTTTCATCCAGGTAGTATGAACATTAAATCTCAGGGCCATTGTGACGAGGTGCTTCGCATGCCCTCCACGCATATAGGTAGCCAGGCAGGAAACCCGGGCACCAAGTAACCGCACGGGATACTTGGGGGCCAGTTGAGTAGACGTGGGCAGGCCCGTGCTATACTTGTCGTTAGTTGTATCAGAGAGTTTAAGGAAGTCAGTTGTCTTATTAGAAGATGTAGTAGTTTTATTAGAGGAGATAGTTCCAATGTTGTGTGGATGACTAGTGTTAAAAGTCTGTTTTAAGATATGGATGTGTGAACAATCATCAGCATATGTCATAGAATGTGAAAGAATAAACTGATAACCGGTACAATGGAAACCGAGCGTCGTTTGTGTGTTATAATCCCTAGGCGGTAGAATGAGTGCAAGACCCAGGTAAATACAACAATCTCACAAGTAGAGCTGTGGCAATCAGCAATAGTACTACAACTTTATCACAAGTGGGTGCTCGTCTGGGATTTGAATTCGGTACCTCTCGCACTCGGCAACATACATCATTTGTTGCTTCTAGTTATTTACTTTATTAATAGATATTACTGCCATTCTTTAGTTGTTACTCTACGGTACATGGTACAGTCAGGCAAGATTTATCATCATCAAAATGATCGCTACCATTGTGGTCATCATCATGTACCTTGCAAGACGGCGTAGATGTTTGTTTACCCCACATATATCAGTTCTTAATGATCTGGATAATTGATATTGATTAAATTCTTCAGTGCCTCTGTCACCGCACATGATTTGTCTGGATCTGCCTCTATATTGTTTTTGCCGTTCTTTTAGTTAACAAAAACTGGCCGAAAGAGGAATCATGCTGCATGGGCAATACAGCCCATGCTTTATACTGTGGAGAGGAAGAACTTCCTCTGCCACCTTAATTAGTCCTGGAATTACATTGAGAGGCAGCAGTTGTGAGATGTGAGGCCTTGTCAATTGGCATTTATGAGGGTGGTCATAGACAGAAGGAGACATTTTTGAATATCCCTGATCCGCTACCTCTTGCCTCACACTTGGCCAATATGCTGTTTATTCGCCAGTCTGTGTCCTTCAGTTGGTGCTTGGAGTTTGGACAAACCGGTGCACCATGAAACAGACAGAAATCTAGCTGCAAGTTTCGGCTTGCAGTGAGGAATGTCAGAACCATTCATCGAGGGCTTTCCATGGATTAAAGACAAAATATTATGTGAGAAAACTGATTGTCATTTATGCTGATCTCTACAAACTTGGTTTAGATATTGCTGGTCAAAGAAGTCCTGTCTTCTAGAGGACTGGACCATTTAAAAAAAAACCACTGTCCTTAATTATCAAGCTGAGTGTCTGGAAACAAACGTATCAATACTATGTGATAGCAAACATGGTCCTGAAATTCCAGTGCATTTATTCGAATCTCTATGCTTCCACTAGAGGGAAAATAGAACATGTTGTGACCACTGGAAAAATTATGTGGAAGAATGGATAGAGGAAGACAACGAGAGAAGATTCTTGACAGTCTTGTTGCATGGCATGGAGGTGTGTCGGCACACGAACTGATACATGCTGCAGGAGATCGCAGATTGTGGAGAGGCATGATTGCCCAATGCCAGTCGGCAAGGCACCTGATGATAATGATGATGATGATATTTCCACTAAGCACAGTTTTACACAATCGTCAGTAGCCCCCATGATGTAGCAGCTAGATGTTTGCTTGCGGATTCAATGGTCATGGATTCAGGTTGAAAGAACCAGACTGTTTTCAGAGATAACATTGGCTCCCAGATAGACCAAGCCTTAAATCGGTACCAGGCAAAGGCGTCCGGCATATTGCTGATCACATCATCCGCCGAGTGCTGATTGGTCTATAAAATATAGGTCTAGCCCTATATGCCCAATAGGCCTGGAAAAGGGTCCTTTACTTAAACTATCACATGGATAGAAAGAAAGGTGCGAGCACTCTCTGCCTTTTCTGGTATTTAACTTTTTGGGTCATCATACGGGTGTTTAAAGTCAATTTTCCCTTTTGTATCTTTCATTTGATGGCGTCCGTGGCTAAGGCGTTGCGAGTCCGACTCGTAATCCAACGAACCGCGATCGAAACACACTGCGGGATGCATGGATTTTTATCGTGGTATGGGGCGTCACAGGTCGACTCAGCCTCAAATGGGTACCAGGATGGGCTGTCCTGGGAAAGTACAGATGGCCGGCGTAATGCTGACCACATTACCCACCGTGTGCCGATTGGTCTGTAAAAATATGGGTGCTCTTCCCATATGCCCGATGCGCCTAAGGGCGTATAAAGGGATCTTTACTTTGCGGCGTCCGTGGCTAAGGTGTTGCGAGTCCGACTCGTAAGCCAGCATACCGAAACCCACTGCAGGCTGCAGTCTAAAGTGGGTACCAGGATGGGCTGTCCTGGGAAAGTAAAGACAGCCTGCGTAATGCTGACCACATTACCCACAGAGTGCTGATGGTCTGTAAAAATATGGGACGCTCTGCCCATATGCCCGATGCGCCGAAAGGCGTGAAAAGGGAACTTTACTTTTTTACTTTTTATGCATTTAGATTATATTTTATTTATAGTTTTTTTTGAGTGACAGAATGCTTGCAATACTTCATTGTTTGTTTTCTTCTTTGTCGACAATTTTCTCAGTATGAATCTGAAATAACATCTTCACCTTTTCATGAATATTGTTCCAGCATTAACATGCATACATAAGAACAAGTTACACATAATGATTTATGTTTTATAGAGTTGAAACATAAACTTGCATTATTACTAGTATCCTCTTAGGTCAAGTCGGGAGATGTGAACCAGCGTCATTGCACACAGTTATAAACCATAAGTGCTCTGCCACCAGTACAGACAGCTGATAAGAAACTGTCCACCTGTGTCACCGTCCGCACGCAACTCCGTAGCTACAGCGACATTCCTCCATTTATCCCAGAGTGTTAACTCTGGTACCCATTTCCTAGAGGCTGGGTGCACCCTGGGAACCTGGGCCACCGATCTTAGCTGCAGCGAGTCGCAGCTGGTTTTAAAAACGAGTCTGTGTAGTATCCTATTATAAATTGTCAAATCTACTAGCATAGCAATTTATGTATGTAGAATCAACAATACACTTCCAACTGTATTTAGAAAATATGTAAAATAAAATCAAACACTTGCATCTATACTTAATAATAATAACAAATGTGTACCACAGGCTATCATTCATTTGACGCTGATAATATATTCACTGTCATCTTGTCAGCTTACCACAGTTTATGTCTTTGATGTATCTCTCTTCTTAGTAGATACTCATAAACACGGATGACCATATGTACCCGGCACAGTAACTTTCCAGGACACTTCAGGAAATCTTTATTATGATATATAAAGCGTACATTCGTGTGAATTGAAAATGTTCAGACCACTAAAAGATTTCCTTAAGAAAAACTCTCAAAATATGTCAGTTAAAAACTTGTACCTCACACAGTACAGCGCCAAACAGCCTTGACCAGCCAATCTGTCTACCCCAAGCTTCGATGAGAACGTATCTTCCCACATTGGTTCTTACACATTGTAGCAAAAGTCTCCTACTATAAAGTGCCTCATTGAGAGAGGAAATATAGTTACACATATTACCAGACGCATAGGATTCATCGTGCTGGTCGTCTTGTTTTTGAACCTTGTCATCGACATACACAACAAGCTGATCCAGGTTCTTCAAGTACTCACGAAATGACGTAGCCTTGTCTGGTTGAATAGAACAATACACATGTTATTTACAGTCATAAATACAATAGAACAATACACATTTTATTTACAGCCATAAATACAGTAGAACAAAACACATGTTATTTAAAGTCATGAATACAGTAAAACAAAACACATGTTATTTACAGTCATAAATACAGTAAAACAAAACACATGTTATTTACAGTCATAAATACAATAGAACAATACACATGTTATTTACAGTCATAAATACAGTAAAACAAAACACATGTTATTTACAGTCATAAATACAATAGAACAATACACATGTTATTTACAATGATCAATACAATAAAACAATGCACATGTTATATGCAGTCATAAATACAATAAAACAATACACATGTTATTTACAGTCATCAATACAATAAAACAATACACATGTTATACACAGTCATAAATACAATAAAACAAAACACATGTTATACACAGTCATGAATACAATAAAACAATACACATGTTATTTACAGTCATAAATACAATAGAACAATACACTTGTTATACACAGTCATAAATACAACAAAACAATACACATGTTATTTACAGTCATAAATACAATAGAACAATACACATGTTATACACAGTCATAAATACAATAAAACAATACACATGTTATTTACAGTCATAAATACAATAAAACAATACACATGTTATTTACAGTCATCAATACAATAGAACAATACACATGTTATACACAGTCATAAATACAGTAGAACAATACACATGTTATTTACAGTCACCAATACAATAGAACAATACACATGTTATACACAGTCATAAATACAGTAGAACAATACACATGTTATTTACAGTCATCAATACAATAGAACATTACACATGTTATACACAGTCATAAATACAATAAAACAATACACATGTTATTTACAGTCATCAATACAATAGAACAATACACATGTTATACACAGTCATACATACAATAAAACAATACACATGTTATTTACAGTCATCAATACAATTGAACAATACACATGTTATACACAGTCATAAATTCAATAGAACAATACACATGTTATTTACAGTCATCAATACAATAAAACAAGACACATGTTATAAACAGTCATAAATACAATAGAACAATACACATGTTATTTACAGTCATCAATACAATAGAACAATACACATGTTATACACAGTCATAAATACAGTAGAACAATACACATGTTATTTACAGTCATCAATACAATAGAACAATACACTTGTTATAAACAGTCATAAATACAATAGAACAATACACATGTTATACACAGTCATCAATACAATAGAACAATACACATGTTATACACTGTCATAAATACAATAAAACAATATACACGGTCATAAATACAATAAAACAATAGACATGTTATACACGGTCATAAATACAATAAAACAATATACACAGTCATAAATACAATAAAACTATAGACATGTTATACACGGTCATAAATACAATAAAACAATATACACAGTCATAAATACAATAAAACAATACACATGTTATTTACAGTCATCAATACAATAAAACAATACACATGTTATACACAGTCATAAATACAATAAAACAATACACATGTTATACACAGTCATGAATACAATAAAACAATACACATGTTATTTACAGTCTTCAATACAATAAAACAATACACATGTTATACACAGTCATAAATACAACAAAACAATTCACATGTTATTTACAGTCATCAATACAATAGAACAATACACTTGTTATAAACAGTCATAAATACAATAGAACAATACACATGTTATGCACAGTCATAAATACAATAAAACAATACACATGTTATTTACAGTCATAAATACAATAAAACAATACACATGTTATTTACAGTCATCAATACAATAGAACAATACACATGTTATACACAGTCATAAATACAGTAGAACAATACACATGTTATTTACAGTCACCAATACAATAGAACAATACACATGTTATACACAGTCATAAATACAGTAGAACAATACGCATGTTATTTACAGTCATCAATACAATAGAACATTACACATGTTATACACAGTCATAAATACAATAAAACAATACATATGTTATTTACAGTCATCAATACAATAGAACAATACACATGTTATACACAGTCATATATACAATAAAACAATACACATGTTATTTACAGTCATCAATACAATAGAACAATACACATGTTTTACACAGTCATAAATTCAATAGAACAATACACATGTTATTTACAGTCATCAATACAATAAAACAATACACATGTTATAAACAGTCATAAATACAGTAGAACAATACACATGTTATTTACAGTCATCAATACAATAGAACAATACACATGTTATACACAGTCATAAATACAGTAGAACAATACACATGTTATTTACAGTCATCAATACAATAGAACAATACACTTGTTATAAACAGTCATAAATACAATAGAACAATACACATGTTATACACAGTCATCAATACAATAGAACAATACACATGTTATACACTGTCATAAATACAATAAAACAATATACACGGTCATAAATACAATAAAACAATAGACATGTTATACATGGTCATAAATACAATAAAACAATATACACAGTCATAAATACAATAAAACAATAGACATGTTATACATGGTCATAAATACAATAAAACAATATACACAGTCATAAATACAATAAAACAATAGACATGTTATACATGGTCATAAATACAATAAAACAATATACACAGTCATAAATACAATAAAACAATAGACATGTTATACACGGTCATAAATACAATAAAACAATATACACAGTCATAAATACAATAAAACAATAGACATGTTATACATGATCATAAATACAATAAAACAATATACACAGTCATAAATACAATAAAACAATAGACATGTTATACATGGTCATAAATACAATAAAACAATATACACAGTCATAAATACAATAAAACAATAGACATGTTATACATGGTCATAAATACAATAAAACAATATACACAGTCATAAATACAATAAAACAATAGACATGTTATACATGGTCATAAATACAATAAAACAATATACACAGTCATAAATACAATAAAACAATAGACATGTTATACATGGTCATAAATACAATAAAACAATATACACAGTCATAAATACAATAAAACAATAGACATATTATACATGGTCATAAATACAATAAAACAATATACACAGTCATAAATACAATAAAACAATAGACATGTTATACATGGTCATAAATACAATAAAACAATATACAGTCATAAATACAATAAAACAATAGACATGTTATACATGGTCATAAATACAATAAAACAATATACACAGTCATAAATACAATAAAACAATAGACATGTTATACACAGTCATAAATACAATAAAACAATACACATGTTATACACAGTCATAAATACAATAAAGCAATACACATGTTATACACAGTCATAAATACAATAAAACAATACACATGTTATACACAGTCATAAATACAATAAAACAATATACACAGTCATAAATACAATAAAACAATTGACGTGTTATACACAGTCATAAATACAATAAAACAATATACACAGTCATAAATACAATAAAACAATAGACATGTTATACACAGTCATAAATACAATAAAACAATACACATGTTATACAGTCATAAATACAGTAGAACAATACACATGTTATTTACAGTCACCAATACAATAGAACAATAGACATGTTATACACAGTCATAAATACAATAAAACAATACACATGTTATACACAGTCATAAATACAATAAAACAATACACATGTTATACACAGTCATAAATACAATAAAACAATACACATGTTATACACAGTCATAAATACAATAAAACAATAGACATGTTATACATGGTCATAAATACAATAAAACAAATGCATTAGAGTCTTCTTTCTTCTTCTTCGCTTTCTTCAGGAATCACGTGGAGGCAGTTGCAGTAAAACGCCAAAAAAAAAAAAAAAAAAAGACGCGATGCTCTTGAGATTATGGCAACAATGGACATTAAACAGAGAATGCTTTTTTGAACATGTTCCAGAGTATGATCCCGTCGGTGATGGATTATGGACTTGGTATACTCACCATACCAAAAAGTCAGCTGATGCAGATAGGCTCAAAGTTTTGATGGGCGGGGAGATGAGTCAGTCAAAGTAGCCGAGCAAGAAGCAGAATTGTGCAGGGTTCCAATCACTTTCGGTCGTGAGCGCAGGGACGGGACAACTGGGACAACAGATTCAGAAGTTCCAACAAATGATTTATGACAATTCCCGCCTAGGTTATTTGATTATCTATACAGATGGCTTTGTGTTGAGAGGTAGACGAAGTACGTAGGTGTTCATAGCAAAAGACTTCAGATAGAATGGCCGGTTCTGCACCACTTGGTGGTGAGTTTATATATGAGAAGCTAGATGTTGTAAGGGTCCTTCGGGGGCGAGTGAACTGTGCGGAAGCGCAAATACATCATTACGGTTTGAGCAGAATGACACTGCGGGGGAGTTCCCCGAGATCTGTCCGACGCTCAACACTTAAGAAAAGACGAGACGGATGTACCATCAGAATGTTACTGGTGACATCGGAATTGAACTCTTTGCTTGCTGCTGAAAATAGAGACGGGGCGCTTATGGAAGTTTCCCGACTACTGCCTCCCTCCCCATCTTGTATTCTCTCACTCTTCATTTCTCTCGTCTCTTTACTTGTAGATGATGGCGCTTGAACTTGTATTAACACACTGTTTCTAGAAATCGTGTTAGTATTTAGGATACTCATTCATTCATTCAGTAGCATGTCCCTCGCGGAACTTCGCTGCCATAACAACCCTCCGGAAAACCTTCCTATCATGAGCAAGATGTCCTGCGTCTGATACACCCATCTGGAGATCATCTGCCACATCCTGCACCCATCTTCTCCTTGGCCTTCCTCTTCCTCTCTTCCCAGGCATATACCCCTCCATTATTGTTCTCTCTAGACTTCCATGACGTTTCAAGTGACCAAAATATTTCAATTTTCTTTGTTTTATTGTCTTTACTAGCCAACCCTCTTCAATATTCAGCTCTTGAAGTATGGATGCATTTGTTCTTTTCTTTACCCAAGATATTCTTAGAACCTGTCTGTAACATTTATATTCAAATGCATTTATGCGCTGTTCCGCTTGTTTAGTAAGTGTCCAGGTCTCACAGGTGTATGTTGCAATGGGAAAGATGCATGCTCTTAAAAATCTGACCTTTGTAATTCTATCTGTACAATTCCATAATTTATTCAGTTGTTTTAGTCTTTGAAGAGCAATTTAGGATACTAGCATCTTTTAATTACTCTCGGATGCCTGGCTCTCTAGTGTAGTTGACTAAACCGGACTGCGCGGTGACCGGGTGACGAACTCCTTGCGGTCCGGGTTCACTCCCGGGGGTGGGCAGAAAAGCCACATTTTCTCCCAGATTTACGGTACCTATCATGGAATCAAGGCCGAAGGGTTGCGATATCCATAGTACCGAGCCTAAGGGTTAACAACTCATGGTTTCTGGATTAAAAAAAAAAAAAAATAATTACTCTCGAAGCTGGACTATTATATTTGTGGGATCGACCAAACCTTGAATCCAGTTTTCTAGGACGTAAAGTGTATGTGATATATATCGTGCTGTTTGATCAGTTTGTCATTTATCTTTAAAAACAATTCGTTATCTTTCAGAGTTGTTAAAGAAAACTTTCCTGTGCCATGGTATTGTTAAATGAACTTTTAACAAAATATATCTCTCACCCTGAGAATGACTATTGACCACTTTCATTCAGTATAGATCAGAATGCTTACCTTGCCCGTCTCCTTGCCATGTATATATGACAACTCCGGATACTGCAGTTTTTTGACCAAGGTCGACCGTCCACAGTGGATATTTTCCATAAAGGTTGTCAAGAATTGTACAGCTCTGAAGCCTCAGATCTAGATCACCATCTACTGCGCGGTCAGCATGCCCCTCTGGAAGCTTATGTCTGATATGGCGCTTGTATAATGTTTTCTTGTTAATCCAGCTGTCCTTCTTGTATGCTAGATTCTCAACTGAAATGTATTTTGTATAAGTTTCTCATTTACATGAAAATATGTAACTATCGCGGGTAACAGCCAGAATACAAGCTTTTAAACGTTAGTGATACAACAACCCGAAGACAACTTATCACAGACATCAGAAGGAGACAGTCGTCATTTTTCGGCCATATAATGAGAAGGGGGAAAATAGAACATGTTGTGACCATTGGAAAGATCTGTGGAAAAAGGGACAGAGGAAGACAACGAGAGAAGATTCTTGACAGTCTTGTTGCATGGCATGGAGGTGTGTGGGCACACGAACTGATACATGCTGCAACAGATCGTGGATTAGGGAGAGACATGATCGCCCATCCTAGTCGGCAATCACCTGTTGATGATGATACAACAGTATGATGTAGTGAGAATAAAAGAAACATGAAGAAAATTTGCCTAAAATTACTAATAATTTACTTATGGCCGTGCACCATAGCTTTAGTAAAAAAAAAAAAAATTACATAGCTTTGGCAACGCACAAACTACATTTCGTTGCCAAATAACTTATGTTTCATTTATATATGTATATAAATAAATATATGTGGCTTAGGCGTTGCAAACGCAGTTCGTAATTCTGTGGTGCAGTGTTCGATCTCTGCTGCAGATGAATTAGCGGCAAACCTTCCAGCGTTGGTTTCAACAGTGGTTTTAAGAGCCGATAGTTATGGCATACTTCTGATTGTGAAAATTCCTGCTGAAATCAAAAAGCAGCCCAAAAATACTGGAGTTGGTTCCGCAACATGCTGTAAGCAACATACAACTGAATTTATATGAAAAACATTATTCGAGTAGCTTTTGTAAAGACAGGACAAGTACTGGCCAAACCTCATGTCTGTAGTATGCCACAGTGGCACAGGTAGAAGTTCCTTTGACATTCACATTTTATTTACAAGGGCTGCAAACTTGGGTTCTTTCTTAATATTCTACCCCAAACAGGGGAAATCCACAGGTCACGGGACATTTTTATATTTCAAGGGGTGGTAGATTGCGTGCATGCAGTAGTAGGACCTAGACTGGATGCAGTCGTGGGACCTAGGCTGCACTCTTTTGTGGGACGTAGGTGGGTTGGGGTTACCACCAGTTCTAGATATTTTGGGGTCGTTAAAAGCATCAGAAGCCGGGAAACTCAGTCTTACTACCCTCGAAAATGTTGGACTTTCTTGTGACGTCATCTGGGGGTAGGATATTAGGAAAGAGCCCAAACTTGAGTCTACATCAACAGAACTGATATACAAAAACTCACTGCAAGGAGTGTCGTCATTGACTCGCATGAAACCATCATTGCATTCACCTGGACATGGACAACGAAACGAGGTCAGTTTTGCATTGGATAACAACACAAATAATACTAGTGTCTTCAGATCTAACGCAATGTTTGTATAAGATATACCAGCCAACAAACATCGAAAGAGACCTACACAGCTATGTATAATTGCTTTTTTCCTTGTTGACATCAAACTGATTACACATAGAGATCTTCTACACAGCTAGGTATAATTGCTTTTTTCCTTGTTGACATCAAACTGATTACACATAGAGATCTTCTACACAGCTAGGTATAATTGCTTCTTTCCTTGTTGACATCAAACTGATTACACAAAGAGACCTCCTACACAGCTAGGTATAATTGCTTCTTTGCTTGTTGACATCAAACTGATTACACAAAGAGACCTCCTACACAGCTAGGTATAATTGCTTCTTTCCTTGTTGACATCAAACTGATTACACAAAGAGACCTCCTACACAGCTAGGTTTAATTGCTTATTTGCTTGTTGACATCAAACTGATTACACATAGAGACCTCCTACACAGCTAGGTATAATTGCTTCTTTCCTTGTTGACATCAAACTGATTACACAAAGAGACCTCCTACACAGCTAGGTATAATTGCTTCTTTGCTTGTTGACATCAAACTGATTACACAAAGAGACCTCCTACACAGCTAGGTATAATTGCTTCTTTCCTTGTTGACATCAAACTGATTACACAAAGAGACCTCCTACACAGCTAGGTTTAATTGCTTATTTGCTTGTTGACATCAAACTGATTACACATAGAGACCTCCTACACAGCTAGGTATAATTGCTTCTTTCCTTGTTGACATCAAACTGATTACACAAAGAGACATCCTACACAGCTAGGTATAATTGCTTCTTTGCTTGTTGACATCAAACTGAATACACAAAGAGACCTCCTACACAGCTAGGTATAATTGCTTCTTTGCTTGTTTACATCAAACTGATTACACAAAGAGACCTCCTACACAGCTAGGTATAATTGCTTCTTTGCTTGTTGACATCAAACTGATTACACAAAGAGACCTCCTACACAGCTAGGTATAATTGCTTCTTTTCTTGTTGACATCAAACTGATTACACAAAGAGACCTCCTACACAGCTAGGTATAATTGCTTCTTTCCTTGTTGACATCAAACTGATTACACAAAGAGACCTCCTACACAGCTAGGTATAATTGCTTTTTTTCTTGTTGACATCAAACTGATTACACAAAGAGACCTCCTACACAGCTAGGTTTAATTGCTTCTTTTCTTGTTGACATCAAACTGATTACACATAGAGACCTCCTACACAGCTAGGTATAATTGCTTCTTTGCTTGTTGACATCAAACTGATTATACATAGAGACCTCCTACACAGCTAGGTATAATTGCTTTTTTCCTTGTTGACATCAAACTGATTACACAGAGAGACATCCTACACAGCTAGGTATAATTGCTTCTTTGCTTGTTGACATCAAACTGATTACACATAGAGACCTCCTACACAGCTAGGTATAATTGCTCCTTTCCTTGTTGACATCAAACTGATTACACAAAGAGACATCCTACACAGCTAGGTATAATTGCTTTTTTCCTTGTTGACATCAAACTGATTACACATAGAGACCTCCTACACAGCTAGGTATAATAAAAACTAGCCATACCTGTGAACGGGCATCCCAGCAGTCCTGCTCTCATACTTATCTTCCCCTGCCACTCCACTGGATGAAAACGGACATATCTGGCAACAAATGGGCTATTTAGAAAGTGCACCCTTTCTGTATCTTTGTCACTGTTCCCGCCAAACAACTGCAGAGGGATTATGGGTAGACAGTCAGGAAAACATTAGAGAATTATCGTAAACAGTGAAAACGTATCAGTATACCGATATAACTTTGATTATGTTGATATAATAACATATATTACAGGTAAATGTGTAACGCCAGAGGATGTTTCAGAATGTATGACACATATTTAACAGCGTGAATTAGTAACTGGCGTTTCGAAATAGTAATATAATGACATTAAGCGTGCTAACATGATATTGTGACAGTAATTAGTTAGTTAGTTGGAAAATGATAATTACACTCCGGACATGTCTAATAGTGCTCAGATCCTCCCCTCTGTATGAACCCCAGCATCATGTGACTAATAGAGTTAAATTATGACAGTATCGTAGTGTAAGTGAGAGCAGGACGTTATAAGGGTACGACATTGTCACTACAAATCATCTGGGTAAAGATTCGACATCACAGCATTCAGGAGAAGCTATATTAGCTGCATCTCCCTCCTCAACAGACAGCGAAGAGCTTCTATACTGATGGTACTTGTTGTCATCTGGTTAACTACCCGTCTTACCTTACCTCTGAGACTCCAGTGGCGCCAAGTGCCCACAGCAACTCCTCACTGTATCATTCTCTCCAGATACGGAGTTTCAGTATCTTCCATTTCACCCTTTCCTTTGTACCAAAGGTTTGAGATTACCTCTGCCTTGTGCAATTGCAGAACACCCAAATGGGGCCCTTCCAGGCAACTTATCTGCCTACTCATTCCCAAACACACCTGGATGTCCTGGACAAAATATCTCTGTGACTCTCAACCATCTGTAACCTCCGGATTGAAATAATCAATTTCATACTAAGCAAACCTGACTCCACTTTCATGAGCGTGCTTTGCGAATGCGACACTATTACAACATTTTTCTCCACCCATCAGAACGCTGCAGTTACCGCTTCAACCTCCATTCTCCTTCTGGGCAAGGTGATATCATATACTAAGCCTATCCTTCAGTTATCCTTCTTTTGCAACGAAGCTCCATCCACTGTTCCAGCCCCTGGCAACTGACCCATCAGTGTTATAATCACATCTCCTGGCCTAGAGTTGTTCTCTACCAGCTGTTGAAACTCAACGTCTATACGTCCCGCCGCCCACTCCTTGTACTCTTGTCCCAAGGTAATTATCACTTTGTGCAGCTTCTCTCCGCAGTCTGGTACCCTTAGCCATTCCTTTCCTCTGCCAATTTCTTGAATGTTGCAGACACTGCTGAATAGTGAATGACAACATGGAATAGTGAATGACAACATGAAATAGTGAATGACAACATGGACTAGTGAATGACAACATGGAATAGTGAATGACAACATGGAATAGTGAATGACAACATGGAATAGTGAATGACAACATGGGATAGTGAATGACAACATGGACTAGTGAATGACAACATGGAATAGTGAATGACAACATGGAATAGTGAATGACAACATGGAATAGTGAATGACAACATGGAATAGTGAATGACAACATGGAATAGTGAATGACAACATGGAATAGTGAATGACAACATGGAATAGTGAATGACAACATGAAATAGTGAATGACAACATGAGATAGTGAATGACAACATGGGATAGTGAATGACAACATGGAATAGTGAATGACAACATGGAATAGTGAATGACAACATGGAATAGTGAATGACAACATGAAATAGTGAATGACAACATGGAATAGTGAATGACAACATGAAATAGTGAATGACAACATGGACTAGTGAATGACAACATGGAATAGTGAATGACAACATAGAATAGTGAATGACAACATGGAATAGTGAATGACAACATGGAATAGTGAATGACAACATGGAATAGTGAATGACAACATGGAATAGTGAATGACAACATGGAATAGTGAATGACAACATGGAATAGTGAAAGACAACATGAAATAGTGAATGACAACATGAAATAGTGAATGACAACATGGAATAGTGAATGACAACATGGGATAGTGAATGACAACATGGGATAGTGAATGACAACATGGACTAGTGAATGACAACATGGGATAGTGAATGACAACATGGACTAGTGAATGACAACATGGAATAGTGAATGACAACATGGAATAGTGAATGACAACATGGAATAGTGAATGACAACATGGAATAGTGAATGACAACATGGACTAGTGAATGACAACATGGAATAGTGAATGACAACATGGAATAGTGAATGACAACATGGAATAGTGAAAGACAACATGGGATAGTGAATGACAACATGGACTAGTGAAAGAAAACATGAAATAGTGAAAGAAAACATGAAATAGTGAAAAACAACATGACATAGTGAAAAACAACATGAAATAGTGAATGACAACAAGAAATAGTGATAGACAACCTGAAATAGTGAAAGACAACATGAAATAGTGAAAGACAACATGAAATAGTGAATGACAACATGAAATAGTGAATGACAACATGAAATAGTGAATGACAACATGAAATAGTGAATGACAACATGGAATAGTGAATGACAACATGAAATAGTGAATGACAACATGAAATAGTGAATGACAACATGAAATAGTGAATGACAACATGAAATAGTGAATGACAACATGAAATAGTGAATGACAACATGGACTAGTGAATGACAACATGGGATAGTGAATGACAACATGGAATAGTGAATGACAACATGGAATAGTGAATGACAACATGAAATAGTGAATGACAACATGAAATAGTGAATGACAACATGAAATAGTGAATGACAACATGAAATAGTGAATGACAACATAATGTAATGACTAGCAGTAAAGTAAATAAAGGACATCTTTCCACGCCTTGAGGTGTAGTGAGCGTATATTGTTAGATCTATATTTTATTCCGGTTAAAATGGACGCTAGACAGCGGGGCCGTTCGGAACAGAGGCAAATTTTTTGCTTCTGCCGGACGGTGGCCGATGCATTTTTGCTCCATTTGTAGACTGGATATAGTTTCGTCGCCCAGCTTCTGAATTGAATGCATGGCGTGACCCTGTGAGCTGCGGATTGCATTTGGAATGTTTTTTTTCCGACTGTGACCAACGTGGTGGTGTGAATTGTAGATTCAGAAAATGGCGCGATGCCTGTCGTGCAATGCTGGCGGGGCCCGTATTAAAATTGATCACGCGGACAACTGCTGATCTGTTGACGACAAGTTCTGCTATCATCAATGATGAACTGCATTTCTAATGTTGGACTGTTTGTGTTAGCACTTCGGATGGCTACCATATGCTTTAATGCGAGTGTATGCTAGATATGCTGAGACAGCAGTCCGTCAATCTTTCCACAAAGGACTGTGAAAGACATTCTGAGTGTTTTTCGCTGGCACAGGAGCGGAGCAAAGATGGGGCAACCCGTTTGCTATGAAGCTGAAACTAAGACTACCAGACTACCAGACCAGACTACCAGATCTATATTTTATAGACCAATCTGCACTTGAAAGGGAGGGGGTGATGTGATCAACATCCCGCTGACCGCATTTATTTCCCAGGACAGTACCTAGTACAGATTTAAGGCTGGGTCGACCTGGGTGCATAGGAATGGCTAGCAGTATCGAGTCCGAAATGACATTTTGAGTCATTTAATGAAAAAAAATTGGCAATATGTGGGGCCAATACAGCAGCTTGAAGTTTCTTCCCAAGATATATTTGGTCGTTCTTTGCTGCTCTGCAGGTAATTTCCTTGATACGTCAGATACATGCAGAAAGGTGTTGAATTGGTTGTTTTCATGAAGCTGTTATCAGCGTATTGTTTATATGAAATACTGCAAGCTTGGGGTACAGGTGCCCCGATAGGAAACTTCACACATACGTATTGTGCAATAAAAAACGTTCAAAACAGAACTCTCCATTCATATATATTAAGTTCTAATAACATGTTGATGCAAAGGGTTTTTGCAAACTGTCTATACTAGATTATAACAGTAACTGTATAATGAACAGAATGTTATTAGGCTGGTATTAATGTCTGACGATAGTTTCGTAATATAAGGAAATACGTTTACAGATGCACACACACACTTACACAAACACACACACACACACAAACAAACACACGCGCATACTCATAATGACTCATTTCCCCAAAGGCATGGCAGAGTCCATTTATGGGTAACAATTTTTTTTCCAAAATTAACTTGCTACCTGTCCGAGCCTGCAGGTTAAACAAGGCGGGTTTAGCCAATACCGTTCCGTAATTATACTTCAAGGTTAGGCAGGTTATTCGGACTGAGGTACTGTTATCTCAGGGTGCTAAAGCATCAAGTAGCAGCCCGGAGAGAAGAAACTGCAGGCGCGTAACTTTTTCTGGACGCAGTTGCTTCGACCTATTCTTGTAAAAGTCAAAACCGCAGGTCTCACAAGCAAACATACACACATACACATGCACACTACGTACACACAAAGACACAGGCATTTTCAGACATAGCTGGCGACACTGAAGCAAGACACTGAACTTGTGAAAACGTAAAAAAGACAGCATGGTGGTAACAAAATCGATAGTAGAGTATTTTACAAGGAGGAGCTAGGAAAATCTGTCGACATTTGTGTGTAATGTCTCCATTTGTGTTGCTTAGTGTTTCTAGTCGAGCTAACACAGTAATGTACTGTTCATGCAGTACATATACTAGCACAGTGATATGACATCTTGTTTGTCTACATCTAAAGTTTTAATAGCATGCTCACAAAGTAATATGTAATGGTTAGCTATGATACATTCAAACATAAAAAGCTAATATACCATTACAATTAGTAACCAGTTAATACAATAAATATTTTAATTGTTAAAATGTTAAATATAACAAGTGTTCCATAAAGCACAATCAAATATTATACTGAGGCAAACAAGTTCAGGAATAAACATTTGGCTTGTATTAGTCAACTGGAGAGACTGAAGGGCCGCAGAAAAGATGTCAACACTAAGATATGTGATGCTGTATCGTCTCAGACAATGATGTGCAACAAGAGTATCACTAGAATTGATTCAAAACAGCGAATCAAAGACTGAGATGCGTAACATGAAGGTCATTGCCATTTTGTGAAACATGGTAGTGATGATTGTCAAAACTCAACTTGGCATACCTTCTAATACCTCAAAAATAAAGCCCAAAAATTCCTGAAAACTACACACATTCATAAAAGTGTACTTGAAAACAAGATAAGAAATATTTCAAAGATAAAAATAAAGACGAAAATAAATTTCCGTTTGACCAACTATAAGCAGCGTTCATTTAAAACCCGTTTCTGTTACTTTATTTAAAAAAAAACAAAAAACAACGGCATGTCAGAAATACAATCAGGTGAGTCAAAATTAAACAAAGCTTTCATTTTAAATGGGGTGGTCAAAAAAAAGTCGCAGTAGGCATTCAGGTAATCAGCCTATTACTTAGATAGGCGGCGAATGCCGTTCGCAAAAAATAGATTTAAAAAATGATTGAGGAATCACACTGCACCAAATGTTTACCTCGTTCCTTCTTTTGATAGTCGGTCGAATGCCGTGGTATCGACTGTAAACACATCTTGCGATACTATAGTTTCTTACGAACAACCGTTTGGACTGTCCTAACTGAGCATCGAATCCTTTCGCTAACGAAAATGTGCATCATTAAACAACTGTTCAACTGTACTGCTGGTTCATTTTAGGTCCTGTTTTGTTTTCTATTGCAACAATGCGCGCTTGACCTGGCCATAAAGATCAGTCGTGAAGTTTTAGCCTTGCCGAAACGTTCCTGCCCAGTCTGTCACTTTGATCTCCGACACGTTTGCACTTGAATTCTTTGATGAATGTCCAGTGGTCGTCATCTTTCCAAGAAATGAAAGAATCATAATTCTTTTAGCTTCTTTTGGACCGATATGGTCTTTTTTTTCAACGGTCAGAAATAGAACCGATGATTCATAGAACGTAAGCACGTACTCCATTATTAACCGAGCAGAAGGTATCACATAACTGTGACGTGATTATGTTTAACGCATGTAATTACATGCAATGCGGTCGGACGGGTTTCAGATGAACGCTCTCTTATATAAAAAAGCTTTCATTAAATTTTGCACCCACTGACCATTCGTGTCTTCTGTGTTGCAAGTGAGTATGCATGTTAGTCTTACCAGGCCACTTTCCGAGTATTTGTCGGGGATTAAATGTGAGGAAGTTGTATTTAGTGACGGGCTCCACAGCCACCGACTCTAGAGAAATAAGTGTATAAGGTTAATTAATAACATAATCACAACAACGAATGTATTGGATCAACAAAAGCAAACATTCAACGAAACTGTCAAATAGCAGCAATGATTTCAAATATGTACATTGATTACTTCTAGTTAATGCATGTAGTTGTATGACTGCTCAAAAGAAATCGTCAAACACATTTCATAATCGACGTGGCTATGACTCAATGGAACGTCAGTTAGACTCTTTGGCTGGCCAATATAATCATGGACAGGCATGCAACATAAGCACATAGCTGTATGTAAGTTAGTTGTAAGCTTCTCATCTGTGTATAATCCCTGAAGGAATTCCCCAAGTTAGTCTCACATGTACACACGAGGTTATGATTGATACTGTGTACACAGTACTTTTGGATATGTGTTCCAATACACTAGACACGTTATAATATATAATTACTTATGTACACACAATACACATTTATTCATTAGATGTAAGGCTCATAGTAATTAATTATGGTGTTAATAAGCGCAAATTATAATACTTTGTAGTTATATAATGCTTGAAGTTATTTATGCTTTAAAATTATAAAAATAATGAGTTTGTAAAAGAAAACAATATATGTACCAGGCAATAGATTATGCAATATAAATGAGTTTTGTTGTTCAAATTCACGATGGTGAAACACTACTTTAAATACATACATACTTACGTGTGTACGTACATACATACATACATACATGCATATATAAACACACACATACACACATACACACATACATAATACATACATACATATATACAGACACACATATACATACATACCTACGTACAGACAAACATACATACGTACATACATATATACAAACGTACACGCACATATACATACATACACACACACCCTCTCACCCACCCACCCACACACACACACACATACATACACACATACACACACACATACATACATACATACACACACACCCACCCACCCAGCCACCCAGCCACCCACCCACCCGCACGCACGCACGCACGCACGCACGCACGCACATACATAAATACATAAATACATACATACATACATACATACATACATACATACATACATACATACATACATACATACATACATACATACATACATACATACATACATACATACATACATACATACATACATACATACATACATACATACATACATACATACATACATACATACATACATACATACATACATACATACATACATACATACATACATACATACATACATACATACATAAATACATACATACATACATACATACATACATACATACATACATACATACATACATACATACATACATACATACATACATACATACATACATACATACATACATACATACATACATACATGCATGCATACATACATACATACATACATACATGCATACATACATGCATGCATGCATACACACACACACACACACACACACACACACATACATACAAAAGGATGGAGCCAGATTGATAGGAAACGAAACAGCACCAGACTTATACACTTAGTTGTACTACATTGAAGTATTATGGAGCACTATGTACTGAATAAGATAACATGATTCACACTCAGGTGAACTGCCGTGAATACCTGGGCAGTTATCGAAAGATTCCTTTGTGATACAATGGTCATCGCACTTACATCTGGTAATCTGGTAATCTGGTAATCCTAGTTTCAGCTTCATAGCAAACGGGTCACCCCACACATGCTCCGCTCCTGTGCCAACGAAAAACAAACGCAGCTCACAGTGTCACGCCATGCACTCAACTCAGAAGCTGGGCGACGAAACTACATCCTTCCAGTCTACAAATGGAGCAAAAATGCAACGGCCACCGTCTGGAAAAATATTTGCCACGGCTTTAAAAAAAAAAAAAAAAAAAAGGTGGCCGTACCTAGCGTCCATTTTGACCGGAAGAATTATATGAGGGTTAATAAACGGTCACCCCAGCAGTACCCTCATTATTAGCTGGGGAAGGGACTTAGGACATTACATCCACCAGCAGGCGTCGCCCCTACAACGACCTGCCTGCCCTCGTTAACGACTGTTCACCCAACAGCCATGCAGTTCTTTGGCACGAAGGAGACACCTTGAACTTGGGTTTCGTACTGCCGACTCCCTACTAAGATGTTATTTTATGTTCTGTTATCACAATTAATGTCACTGCACATTGGGCATACCCATGCGTGCTCAGTTCTCCGAAGCAGCAGCCACTCTAAAGTACTTCTACTAATTGTCCCCATGAGAAGCTGGTTATATTGTCTCCTTTCTCGGCCTCGAAGACGGCAAAAGACGTGCATCACCATGCTTAACTCCCATGTCACGCAATCGTGTTAGTGTCAGGGATTCCTCATTCTCCACTAGCCCGGTTCGTACAGCGTTGACTATGTCTGCTCTGTCCATACTTTTTCCTGCAATCATTAGTGCAATGCTTGCCAGTTGGTCTGCTCGCTCATTTCCCTTCACGCCCGCATGACCCGGTGTGTAGATCCAGGTTACGGAGGTTAAGTGCGATTTCCTGATGCTTTCTATCCATTCAGAGCGCATACTGCCTGTTGCTATCTTCTGAAGCATATTCATTGAGTCTGAGACAATTACTACCTGTGTGGCGGTTTGCTCGGATACCCATGCTAAAGCTCTAGAAGCAGCAGCTATTTCCATTGTCATGCTTGACGTGGTTGTCTGGTAAGCGCCGCTGTCCTCATGTATTGTTTTCCCCTTTCTTTGCGCTGTGTATGCCCATGCTGACCTTGATCCGCGCTTCACAGATCCATCTGTGTAGATGATGGTATCTTCTGGGTCTGAATGCTGATCTATCAGTTCCCTTACTTCTGTGTCTACCGCCGCGGGAATTTGATCCCTGCAGTACCTTCCGAGTGTGATGACAACCTTAGAAATGCCATGCATGTCTACTGGTGTATTCGTCCATTCTTTTCCGTGGCTGATCACGTCTAGGTCACATACCTGCTGGATTAAGTCCTCAGCCTTTGCCATCCAAGAGCGGCCCCTTTTGAGACGCGTTCCTTTTGTGTCGTGAATAGCTTTGTGTAATGGGTGGTTAACATCTGCCGATACCCTCATGTAAGCCTTGACCTGTGCCACTTTGTATCTGCTTGTCATGGTCGGCAGACCCAGGATATAACGCATGGCGTTGCAGGAGGTGTCTTTTGTGCAGCCGAGCATGAGTCTCATGGCCTCATTCTGTACTCGGTCCAGTCTTTCTAGCTGGGTTTTGCTGACAGTGAGGAGGCCGAGACCATAGTCAATGACGCTAAGCACAAGCCCTTGATAGAGAAGGAAAAGTAGACGTTGTTCAATATCAGCTGCTGCTAGCACCTTGAGTGCTGTCAAACCTTTCCTGGCTCTAAGTATGACGTTGTCTACGTGGCATTTGTATGACAAGCATCTGTCAAATGTCATGCCCAGGTATTTCATGGTGTCCGTTCTCTCGATGTCCACACCACAGATGCTTACGACTGGCGTTGGTGTACTCACGATGTGGGTATTCAGAGAGAACCATGTTAAGGAGGCTTTGGACGGGTTCACATGAGCTCTTGATTCCTGGCACCACTCACCAAGTCTGTCAAGTTCGTGTTGTAGTGTGGTTGTAATTTCCTGCCTGTTTTTACCTCGACGGTACACAAGGATATCATCTGCATACGACATTGTTCTGCCTAGGCCTACGCGTTGTGCACTAGTGACTCCTGCTGTGTACACATTGAAGAGCACAGGCGACAATGGTGATCCCTGGGGCAGACCCATTAGGACGCGTTGAGGTTCGGATGCCCATTCACCACATCGAAGCGACACTGTTCTTTCAAATAGCGCTGCTGCGATCCAGTTGACCAAATTTGTTTCTATCTGCATATCCAACAGCAGTCTGATGAGCATGTTGTATGGGACGCTGTTGTACGCATCTTCTAAGTCAATAGCGGCTGCAGCCGTTTCTATTCCCTCCTGGAAACCTTCGTATGTGTCGTAGGCAAATACTGCAGCATTGCACCATGTATCTCTTCCTGGTCGGTAGCCACCTAGTGTAGCGGGGAAATGGCCACCCGACTCCAATATTTGGGTTAACGTTCTGGCAACGATTTTTTCCATGAGTTTTCCTACAGTGTTCTGGAGTGTGATGATTCTGTAGCCATTTATTCTCCCTCTCCCTCTTGTCAGGATATTTAAAAAATTAATCTTGGTCTCTTTAGTCAACTCAGTCTAAATTGGGAAGCCTTTTGGAGGGAAAGAGCCACCGGTGTGATGTAGACATTCTCCCTCTTGTCAGGATATTTAAAAAATTAATCTTGGTCTCTTTAGTCAACTCAGTCTAAATTGGGAAGCCTTTTGGAGGGAAAGAGCCACCGGTGTGATGTAGACATCTCCCACTGAGAGTCGACTTGGTTTGTCAAAGATGGAACCATCATTATATATTTCGTTAGTATCAATGCATGGAAGATAGTCGGTTACATGACTTGACCATGTGACATCCTGGTGTATGGAGATGCCTGCCAATCATTAACCTAGAAAAGGCGGTCGCTTTATGATGTTCTCTGGATAATATAATTGTTAGAGCTGATGTCTCAAACTTTACAAATGATACAGAGATGATTGTTGGAATCAGGAACTGTTATATCGTTGTTGTTTACTCTTCTTCAAAGTTTGCTTTTCTTCCAACGATATCCTCTGCAGCAAAGCACATTTCCAACGCTTGCTCATAAAGATTTCTGTCAGAAGGCAAACATCAGTTACATATATATCTAGAGACCGGTGCCTACCTTCGGGTCCAGATGATGCGCATCCTTGTAACTGTACCATAGCCTGGTGTCGTTGCTGTAGGCTATTCGAAACCTCTGAACCCAGTGCTTCCTCAGTGTATCACCTCTACCCTTGGTTATGATACCCGTTATCAGCGTCGGTGGTCCAACATCAATCTGAAGCCATTGAGATTCTAGACAACAGACGACATCAAATGTTTCTTTAGATGATACATACACATCTGCCTAAAAAAAGGAAGATATATATATATATATATATATATATATATATATATATATATATATATATATATATATAAGAGAGAGAGAGAGAGAGAGAGAGAGAGAGAGAGAGAGAGAGAGAGAGAGATCACACACACACACACGCATACACACACTATAAGGAAGAAAAAGAAAGACATATATATATATATATATAATGTACCTTTAAGATTTGTTGCAAATTTCTATGTTAGTAATAATGTTTACTCGAAAGCTGTAAGATGATTTGTGGTAAAATTGGAGCTAATTACCCAAAATGTTAATTAAAAAAAAATAACTAAGTGTTTGCTTGTATGTTTTACTTACCGTTTTGTTTCTTTGAACACCAGGCCTTACTGCTGACGATATGACCATCTTCTGGCAGACATGAGCTGCCGTGTTGAAACTTTCGGTAGGATGATGCAGTCAGTCTTCCATAAGGAGGTAGACCAAGCCGTTCTTTGCATACTGAAGACACAATACAGTCTGCTTACACAGCAATCCTAATGCTGAAAAACTTACTGCATGTTGTTTTGGTTTTGTTTAACATTACTAGCTAACGAATGCAAGCCAGCTTATCTTGAGGCCATTAACTTACTTCAGATATTCAGTCACAAGATGTCTGTTATGGTTTTAAACATGCATTGCCATCACAAAACTATATTCAAGAATACCCATAACGTGTTCTTGATAAATTTATCTGTAAGTTTAGCTGCCTTTTCTTTCCCTTACACGTAAGAGAGTGATTTGCATGAGATATTCAATGTTAGGTTGTTTTTTTCATTTGTAGAATTTGGATATGCTGTAAAAATTATAGCAAATTTCTGGAGATTTCCAAATGCCAGTGGATCGTCATCGCTCACAACTAACATGTGAGGATTTAATTTACTTGTAATTAATGGACCAAGTTTTCTGTATCGCTCCACAAAGTCCAAGTATATTAATTAGATTAGCTTTATAATTAGCAACATTTGGAAGGGTTTTACGGAGGTCAGAAAAACACTGGTCACAAAAGTCCGACAGTTGTAAGTTCCTATGACACACCATTATCAACAACATTTCTAAAATATGCATGTTTCATGTGATAAAATACGGCTGTGAATCACGAGTTATTTATACCAAAGGGAACTGTCGTGGTATGGCGGTTAGACGCTCACCTGCTTATCGGAAGGTCGTGAGTTCAGGTCATAACGAGGTCGTGCCCCCCCCCCCCCTTGCCCTAAAGTGAGCTTGGCTCCCACGTCAACCCAGCCAGGAATAGTCCTGGAAAGCTTTATGTTTACCACATCACAGAGAGAGTGCCGAATGGTCTATAAATAAAGGTTTTTTATTTCCGCTTTTTGTGAGTATATAGGTTATTTGCGTATCCTTTACAGTTGCAAAACCAACCCCCAAACGCCCCTGGCTGTTGTGTGGTTTTTATAGACAAATTTACGTCCAGTAGTTTGTCATTGATCTCTGGACGGTCGGCTTTCTTGATACCGCTGTCGAAACTAACGCAATGCGCAATGCCCTCAGCTGGGATTAAAACCGGCACCCCGGCATTACGAAACGTTCGCGTCGATTTAGCCATAGAGCCGACATTTGTGAGTATAGTGTACCTTTTTTTTTTAACTCACGGAATATTACAGTGGGTTCGATCACTGGAAGGTGATCGAGCGTTAAATTTTTTTTTTTTAAATGTCGGGAGCACAATTAAACTAAACATTCTGTGACGACAGAACTAGCCATGAGGCGCTAAATCCTCTGGCTACAACGACAGTAGTGACCGTTTTATTATTTGTTG